GTAGGATTTCAAGAATTCTTTGGGGCCCTTCATAATTAATGTGCATTTTAACTTCTACTAAATTATCCTAGGAATTATCACTTTTCTTTATGCATGGAATGGAAAGTATTTATGCCGTTAAATTATAAAATTTCAGGCACTTGTAGACTACGTAAAAAAGTTATGCGACACAAGGGCGCAGAAAGAGCTCGATACGGCACAGTTAGAGCTCTTTCGTTCCCCATTGGCTTTCAAACCGAAGGCCACATTTTTGGCTTTTAACCACGAACATTTTGCTCACCTTCCAAAGTTAAAATTTTTTCCTGGAGTCCCATGTTGTCAAGTTTATTCAGTGTTTAAGTGAAAAACCATATGAAATAGGTACTCAATTTTTCAGACAACTTCCTCCTTTGGCATTACTAATATATCTTCTCTGTATTTAATAGGTAGTTTATATTGGACGTCTTATTATTGTTAGGATCGCCAGCCACCTAGAAACAGGTGGACACCTGTGGAATTGAGAGTGCTTAATCTCACGAAAGTGCTTTTACATTTCCACGATTAAACGAATGCCTAAAACTGCATGCCGAAGAAAAGATTTCTTTTTAAATTGCCAGCGATTCTCGGGTCTAACATTGTCTAAAATTTAAATTGAAGTTTACAGTAAGAACGTCAATTAAAGTGGCATTAAATTTAATTAAATCCATAAGTTATTTCGCAAACAACAAGCAAAGCTCTTGTAATGAATTCTAGCCAACAGCGACTGGGACAACATTTCGAAACAATTAAGTTCTTGCCTTTGTCACACTTGATGAATCTGTTGTGGTTCGATTTATCAAGGATTATCTTACAATTAGAACAGCTTAAGCCGTTTCCTTCTTAGACTAGATTGTCTTCTTGATAAATTTATACTAAATTCCGCTTTGGATCAATTGAAATGGTGCACTTCTTTGTTTGCAATAAAGTTTTATTTCGACAAAGCTTTGCATCAATAGAAAACCCAACTTTGCGTCGCCCTTAATCGAGAACATTGATCTTCAATGAACGCTTGAATACGGATTTCTGAGTCGAAAGTTAAATAGAAACTAGAAACAGGATTTATGGAAACTTGAACAGTAAATCGTCCGATGCTCGCACGTAAAATTTAAATTTCTCGAAATGAAAAACTATCAACGTGGGTACCCCACTTCTCTCGGCGTCGCTTTCGTCCTTTTGAATTTAAGTTATTAAATTGTAACTTAATAACGTTGCAATCAACAACTACTACGCTAGCGCTTAATTTTTAATATCTTAACACCATTTCTAAAAATGTAATTATTTCGCTCGAGAAATTGACAAAAAATCGCGTGCTCGTAGTCGCTTTGAAAATATGCATTTTTGCGATATAAACTTTTAACCAGTTTTCTAGTAAACTTCAAGGATAATCAAAGTGTGCGTTCGTCTCGGCGATATCCGTCATTGCGGATGACTGTCAAATAAATAGACAATGGCGCTTTGTAGAACTTGACAGGGCTCAGAAAGCTTTTAGATCTATCTAACTTTATAAGTTTAACCGTTAAGATGCTTTAGTTTTACTGTTTTGGACGATTAGCCTTTTTTTGTCCTCAAATATTCTTCCAATATCGCTTTATGATTCTAATAGCTTTTGTCTTAACAAATTAGGAGATTTTTTTCTACCTACATCTGAGTTTTTGCTCCCCTTTGTTTTCCGACGGTAGTTATAGAAAAAGAATTGAAAAGGACTTCGAGTAATACCACTATTAACTGGCTTATATACTGTGAATAATGCTTTGTAATCCTTCGTGACTAATGGTAGAAAATGTATCATTATTATAGTCCGGAGCATCCTCTCTTTCATGCAGAAGCTCCTCGTTCAATAGAAAAGGTGTAATTAACCATCTCTTCGCTTCCATCGATCATTGGGTATTTTTCAGGTTTCAGAGCGAAATCTTTTTGCGTCTTCTTTCAGTTTCAAATGTTTACCAATCATTTCATTCTATTTTGTACGAAATCATATTACACAACGCATATAAATAATAATTAAGTCATCGATACTTGTTTCTTATGTCGTCTTATATTTATATCTAATGAATTCCATAGAAAATCATACTGTTACTTAATAGAAAAAAACCCGAGAAAACTCGATTTTTTCAGAGACGCTTATATAAGCTGATGAATAAAATTTGTAAAATTCGGAAACATCAAGTATATTTGCCGAAAATGTGAAACTTGGCGAACACTCAAATAAATTGATTCTTATTTAATTATCCGGCTTTCGGTGTTTAATGCCAAAAAAACTCACCATATACCTCTTAGTCTCGTGAAATGAAATTGGATACTTCCGTTTAATTGAAAAAGTAATCTTCTTTTACGAGACTTACCTTTTCGTTCAATATCTAAAATAAAAATAGGATTAACCTTCGACACATGCACGCCTTTAGGCTGATTGATGTCCAGAGGGCAATAATACGACAGATTACCACCCTCGTGAACGCTTCCCATTCAGCGTTCGAATAAAATTGCAACGAAATTACGAACGATTGGTTTAGTCCCCGATAGACGAAATTGAATAATGTTTGCATTTTCCATTATTGAAAATTTCATTAGCTGGTGCTTATTTTATAAACGTACGTAGCTAGAAATTCGGAATATTCTTCTGCATATACCTTGTTAAATTACTACTTTTTAATATATGGTTCTTACAAATTAATAAAAGTCGCAGCTGATCAAAGTATCACTGTAATAGTTACCTATTTATTATACAAGACGATAAAGGGATATTTAACCATTGAATGAATAAACTTTCACGAGATGGTTAGTTTCCCTTTATCATCGTATTTAATACCAAACTATTTTATAGTGGAAGTCATATAAATCATTGTCTGACAATTCTGAATGTAATTTAGAGACGTCAAAAATAGTAAACTTAAGTTCTGAGATCGCAATCCTAGTCGCAATCGTTTCTATAGAAACAGAATTGTCATATGTTCTGAACATCATTTTATATTGAGCATTTGAAATAAGAATGACAGATGTCATTAGAATGCACAATCATTTGTTTCACTTTATCTACCCTTACGGTTAAAGTGATAACTTTATCTATCCTTACGGTTAAACAACGGCTTGGCCTACTCAATCAAACCTATTAAAATGTCATTTTAACTAATAGTATATTATGTATCAAGTTTTATAAACGACAGTTTATAAAACGCGTTACATACTATACTTTTTCTACGAGAATTCTGTTGCCGCTTGCGTTATTTCAGAAGGAGCAGTAATAACATTTTTCTCTCCATTATCATTATCTGTGTCCATTTTTGAAAAGTATGAATTCGCCTTACGAATTACGATGAATGTCAAAATGACAAACGTCAAACTACCAACTTGATTTAGTCAACAAAATTCAAGCCGTGTTTAATGAAACTTCGGGCGTGTTATAATGGCCGAAAACACCCGAACGAGCACCACTCTGTATCTAATGAGTAGTCGTATTTAAAATGACACTTCGCGCACTATATGTCAGTGCAAAATGTGACATTTTGGGGAGTAGAAAAAATAAATAATTGTATCTTATAGCAAGTGTTAAATTGGCATTTTAATAGGTTTGAACGAGTAGGCAAAGCCGTTCTTTAACCGTAAGGATAGATAAAGTGATCACTTTAACCGTTAGGGTACATAAAGTGAAACAAGACGACTGTGCATTCTAATGACATCTGTCATTCTTATTTCAAATGCCCGATATAAAATGACGTTCAGAACATATGACAATTCTGTTTCTATAGAAACGATCGCGACGACAGAACCCAAGCTTGCTATTTTTGACGTCTCTAAATTAAATTCAGAATTATTGTCAGAAGTTTTACAATGATTTATATGGATTCTGCCATAAAATAAAGTTTTGTATTATACACGACGATAAAGGGAAACTAACCATCTCGTGAATTAACATCTTTCACTCAATGGTTAAAATATCCTTATACTTATAGGGTCAATATTTTGCGAAATATGAATGGTTTTTATTGAAAAAGAATGAAAAAAAATATCAAAGTCCCCGTGTGAGACCGAAGGGACTTCAGCGCGTTTTTGTGTGAGAGATCAGTATTCTATTAACCAGTCCACTCCACCATCAATAAGATCTTGTCGAAGACTACCACATTCCCTTTATCGGTACCCCCTTCCGACGTCTTATTCACCCGCAATTCGAGCTTGAAGTTCTGAGTCAACCATCATTAAGACCTTGTCGGGGACTAACACATTCTTTTTGTCGGTACCCACTTCCAACGTCCCGGTGACCCGCAATTGGAGTTTGAAGTTTTGACTCTACTATCATTAAGATCTTGTCGAAGGCAACCACATTCCCTTTGTCGGTGCCCACTTCTGACGTCCCATTCACCCGCAATTCGCATTTTGGTGGATTTCGCTAAGAACCCGCCACAAAATAGTACGCACTTTTTGGGTACTTCTCATTGCTCGAGCTTCTATTGGCGCCACGAGAAAGGTGGTTAATTTTTCCCCCCGGAAAAAAACAAAATTCCACCCCGCAGGAGTTGTGCGCGTTTACAATATCGTTCCGACACCTCCGCGCTCCTAATATTCCACTGGTTCCGGTCCCAAAATTAGACATATTCTCATAATGAAGGGACCATCAATTTTTTAACGAAAACCAAGCTTCTATTTTTTGGGGTATCCGCGTGGCACATTAATTTATGCCTGGATCTTTAATAATTCTCTCCAATCATTGTGAATATTTGCCCTCCTTTCCATCCGTGTTCTCCATCGACTGTAATTATCGCGTGCTTGCCTTGAAAATGATATAATTTTAATAATCATATCGTAAGCCCGTATATTTTGAAACTTAAAAGGTCACCAATATGTAGGGCAAAAGCTGACCTGACCGGTTGACTGCCTTGAGAACACTTGTCACGATTCTTAATAAATCTTAAATTATTTCCACTAACCGAACCGGGTAAATCAATACACGAGCATAGTTCTACGGCACATCCAATTTATGAGATGTCTGTGTTTGGTGAAGTAGTGGAAGAGCATCTTAAGGGAATGGAGCAGTGGATAGGAGGTTTGGCTGTTGTGACCGGAGCCAGTTCGGGAATTGGAGCTGCTGTTACCTCGAAGTTGGTTAAATCTGGAGTAATTGTACGTTTAAATTTAATCTAGGTATTACAATGTCTGTAACACTGTAAACAGGTGGTAGGTTTGGCAAGACGAATTGAAGCTTTGGAGGAACTCGAGGCGAGTTTAACTCACGAAAAGGGTACCTTCCATCCGAAACAGTGCGATATTAGCAACGACGATGAGATTTTTGCCGTTTTTGAGTGGATTGAGGAGTCTCTAGGGCCCGTGTCTATTATAATCAACGCAGCAGGTGTATTAAAACCAGCAACTTTGATAGGTACAGTGCTCCCATTTTAATTTCTGGAATACTAATTTCCTTTTAGAGGGCTCAACCGATGTATGGAAGGAGACATTCGATGTTAATATTTTAGGATTATGTGTTTGCACAAGGGAAGCTTTAAAATCGATGAAGGCGCATGAAATCGCTGGACACATTGTCCACGTTAACTGCTTGGTAGGACACGTGTTGCCCGAATTGCCGCTACCAGAACCACTTCTTAATGTGTATCCCGCAACGAAGCACGCAGTCCGTGCGTTAACTGAAACTTTGAGAAAGGAACTGAGGGGGAGCAACTCAAAGATTAAAGTCTCGGTAAGGAGCCCGGTACTGTACCACGGAGAGATAATTGAACTTTTTTTCAGAGCGTAAGTCCTAGCTACACTATTTCGGATATGTACAACGAATTCCCAGAGAATGCGGCTGAGGCGTTGTCAGAAACACCACGGTTGACCGCAGACGATGTGGCAAACGCGATTATATACGTTTTGGCGACTCCGCCAGGAGTTCAGGTACTACTGTATACTTTCGTTACATTTCAAAATTTTAATGACACACATTTAAATGGAAATTTCAAACAAGCATCAGACATCGTTTCATAGTAAAATTTGGATATCCATTCCACTTCTTTCCTGGAAGAACTAATAAAGAATATAATAAAAGAAAACACACTAGAGCCTTCTCCTTTGCTCACCATAAGTACGCCTGTGCACTAAATTTTGTTTTATTTCAGATTCAGGATTTGATAATTCGCGCAATTGGTGATGCCTTGTAGTGTCCATGCCTATCACATGTTAGATAGCTTACTTACAGTAGTTAGATGTAGTGTCACATACTAAAACTAAGAAGGAAAGTTATCCAAAATTCTGTTAGCTGATGTTTTGTAATGAAATATGTTAATACAGGTCTAATATTAAAGAATTATTCTATTAAGGACACGTTTATTAAATTTCAATTAAATTTTTATGGACATCCTCCATTGGGAATATATTTGTTTCCATAGAGATCGACCCTTAGTTTTCCTAACATATCTCGTGAAAAGCGTATTGAAATTAACCCTCTAAGAATGAGTAGCTAAATCACTCAAAACTGACTAACACATCATCTACTGCATGTGCATGCAGAAATTACAAAAAGTGTAGAAGCAGAGGATATATTGAAAATATATTTGCGAGCGAACTGCAGAAAGGCGGCATATTTTTTGATATATTTAAATTTTTATACTTTCTCTTCTTTACAATGCTCAATAGTGCAATAAATAGGAACAAAATTTTTGTAACTTTTGTATGTTCTAGTTCTTTATTATTTTTTAAATAAAATATTAATGATCTAGGGCTATGGTTTTCTCAATCGAGTCAAATATCTCTGAGTTGCTCAGTTGCATATAACTAGACCTCCTCCGACACTTTTTTAAATTTTTTTTCAAAACTTTTGATTAAATAAACAGGTTTCAGAGTCACTTAAAAAACCCACTGCTTTGCATGAATTCGTACACAATTTTGCATGGGAGGGACCTTTCAGACTCCATGGTCGCTGATTTCCCCCCTTCCCAACTGTTATTCACTTCCGACGTCGCTGCTTGCACTGTTTAAATCCCTTCAACCATTTCTGTCACAAATATCACGAACACCCTTCCTGTCGCACCCATGGTGTAAGTTCACACGTGCATACGGAACAAAATTTCCTTTCCTGGTGCTTGTGATACATATCCAATCTACTTCCCCAACATGTAACGGCTAGTAACAAAGCACAAGCGAAATGCCCGCTCGTACTTATAGTTGGGATTTTATTTTTTAAATAAAAAATATATCACGAAGATCCCGCTAGTATTAAAAAAACAAAGATGCTACAATACAGGTAACAAATTCTGTGTGACTTATCTGTGCTATTCGATATATCACAATTACTGACCCGAATTACTTCTCGGTTTACTCTGGATTCGTCACAAATTATAAAGCCACCCCGCGCAAACTTACGGGTGGTCGACTTAAACTTTTCTCGCGGAACGTTATCGTGACTTAACGCGCATTGCTCCACGGTTTAACCTGAATTGTCCGACGGATCTCTTTCAACAACTTAATTCCCAGTACCTTACCTTTTTGATTCACCAATTCTGGGACGTACAACTTTCTCCACCAATTTTTGTATCCAATGAAATCCGTTTTTGAGCTGTCGGTCGCAGTTCATGTGGACTTTCTTTTACTACCTAATTTGGTGGTTCCTACACTACACAGCAAACTTGAAAGCGGCGGATACAAAGTAAACAAGATCTTCCTATAGTTATACTAAAAGCATCATCTCCAACAAAAAATCCACGAAAATTGTGATGTTTCACACTCCACATTGGTTACGCGGCCAGGGATTCGGACCGGACCGAAAAAGAACCGAAAACCGGACCGAAAACCGAACCGAAACCGTTATTCCTTCAGAAATGGAAACGCATTGAGAACCGGAACCCATATTACTTTTTTCGGTTCTTTTCGGTTTTTTACGGTTCTTAACAGGTTATTGGAAGTTGAAGGACGCGCCGGCAATCACGTCCTGAAAATTGTAAAATATTACTCTATGATTGCCATCGGTGGATTATAAATTTTTAATAAGGTGTCGAAATTGAAGGCATTACGGGTGACGGTGGCGATAATTTAGCCACTACTTAAAAAAAATTAAAAAGGAGGGGCGAGGTTTTTAGTAATAAATTAAGTGTAAATACATATTTCCTTCTTCCTCCTTTATCGTTATAAACTAGCTACACTGACGATACGTCACGTTTTGGTATTCATGACATTTTCTTCACACCTATTAATTAATTAACAAATCATATAATTATAATGAATTTTTTTAATGCCATACTTTCTCAAAAACTAGAACCGAAAATAACCGTTATGGACCCAAAAGAATGCGCAGAACCGGTTATTTCTTTTTAGAACCGAAACCGGACCGGAACCGTTATAAATATTTTCGCTTAAATATAAACAGAACCGGAACCGATATTTCATTTGGGTCCGAGTCTTTGGTTACGCCCTTGATGTTGATTTTTGTTACTGACTCGTTGACTTGTAGTTGCTCCTTATGTTATTGACTCCTTGCATGAACTTACCTTATTCTGCTTGTCTTTATAAATACCTGTTATATATTTTGTAGTAAAGAAATAATGTGGTGTATATCCAAAACCTAACTTGGGTAGATTAATGACAAGGAAATTTGGGAACGTGGTGCTCCAATAAAGCGCCAATTTGAATATCCCAGATCAAAATCAAAATCAATACGTTACCTGAAGTATATCTTTAAATCAATAAATGCTGTCAAATGCAGACAATGCATCGTCTGCTTTATTTATGATGCAAACAACCTATAACGTTTGCATCATAAATAACTGTAAACAATATAACAATTCCATTCTTAACTGAAAAAATCTAAACTAAATTGAACCAATATTCTAATGATAAATTGAATTTTTCCCAATCTTATGCGCAACGATATAAACGATTGTTCAGAGAAGGCAACGTAGTTCAGTTTAAGTACGCATAATATGGGAATGGGATGTGGAACGACGACAATCACAGGATTATTACAATACGAGGCCTCCTTCCAATTTTACATCCTTTTAACATTTGAATAGCACTGCATCACAAAGTATGGCGTTTTAATAGCGAAAAAGAAACGCTTGACTGCTCTCCTCTCCAAATACGAACTTAAACGTAAGTAGATCAACCGCACGGTTGGCGTTGAAATGCTGATTGTGAACGTAGATTTATTGTTGTGGTGTATGAAAACCACTTGTAGAACGATATTTGGCACCTTCTCCACAGAATTTACCTAATTGTTACGTTCACTTTGAGGAAATATAACAAAATTTCCTTTGGCATGCGGTAAGCTCAGGCAAAGTAGACTAAGAGATCCTTGTTCTGGTCTTGATAAGCTAAAGAAATAAAATAATTGCCAGGATAGAGCATAAATAATAATTATTGTCACTATCGAGGATATACTCAAAGTATTACAAATAAAACACTGTAATACCTGGATTTAAATTTAACTCCATTTTTAGCACAAAGGGGATCACCTAGTAGTCTTGAAAATTATCAATATCCGAAACAGGTTTCTACAACAAATGAAGCTAAACTTTAAATGACTATCAAACAAATGTAGTAATTATAATTCGATTGTATAGAAAACCAGTATGTAATCAAACGTTATATCGAGGAATCGTTGCAAATAAAAATATTACTTTTGAACTCTGGTCGTAACGGCGTCTGAGCTCAGAAGGAGGCTTCACTTCGACTTACTGCATTATATGTAACAGATAAGTAATAACAACACAAACTCATGGCATATAAATATGGCGGTAGCAATGTCTAACGTCTAACACTCGCATACTCGTATACTAGTCTAAAACTGTAATTACCATTCAATTTACGTTAACTAAACAAAAGCAAAAATTTGTTTCAACAACGAGTCGTCCATTTTCGAGATATTCGCAGTTCACAAATGGATACATTTTTTTCAAACGTCCTAATCGCCCTTTATGAGTACCCTCCTCTGTATTAGGAGTTATAAACGATAAGAGCTCAAAGAAAAGAAATATAAAAATAAAAAAAATCCGCCAATAATGCACATTAACAAAACGGAAACCAAAATAAACAAAAATATATTCCGTGCTACCCGCGCGACAGCTACTCTACATCCCTTAACATTTCCGCAAGACTAAATTAATAATAATTTCATACGCATGTATTAGCTTTCGCCGCGTCTGCATTTAATTAGGTAAATCATTATCTCCGTACCACTTCAATTTACACGAATTCGTTGATCACCGCAATTTCAATTCGAACTGCACACATTCATATTCAACGCGCCCACCCACCCCCTCAGCAATCTAGCAATCTGTGCGAGAAATAAACTTTAAAGTTAAATTAAATGTAATTAGATTGGATTTAGGATTTACGTAAGTGTCTTTTAATGTTGCACTTGCATTATTGAGATACTTGAACATTATTTAAGGCTTAGCTTGTTATCAAAGTGTAATAAACGAAGTTAGTGCTAATGGATTTAATCATCTCGGTTTCGTCATCGAGTGGGAAATGAGAAACATTTCCTAACGTGACATCGTTTCAGGTAAGTATTAAACATCGTCGCTAAACGTTTCTATCTGGGAAAAGGTAAAATCCGAATTAAATTAATGTTGGAACGCATTTGTAAGGATGTTATTAATAAATGCCATCGTCAATCTCCATAAAAGAAATGAATTATAAATAGTTAAGTTGCCGAAGCACGTGCGATTTCTATCGCTCCATTTTCATCAGCTAATAAACAGAGATCGTGAGAATTGCCTTTATAGAGAGGATTTACACGTTAAAATATTGATGGTTATACATTGTTTACAATGTTCGCTTTAATTTACATACATTATCAATTAGTTACTATCTCTTTATAAGCTAGCACGTCACAATTAAATGAGAAGCTTTTGTAAATAAAAATCGCGCTTTTATAATTCTTCCGAATTACGTGGAGGGGTTGTTACATTGATGTGGTAAAACAATACTGACAAACTTCGAATTCCGGGTTGTAGAATAGAATGCCTTGTAATTCTTGTCTTGAAATGTTGTGGTCGTAACAATCTTGGCTTGAAGTAATCCTCCAAAGTGCGGGAGGAAATTGGTCGGAAGTAATTCCATGAAGCGCCCGACGCGACCACAAAATCAGTCCTTCTGTATCTAAGTGTGTTGACGGAATTGTCCCAAAAACATCAGCTATGCTTTTACAATTCTCTATGCCTACCTAAAACTATCGAGGTTCCTCTAAAAGTTTCGAAATAATTATTATTCATTTATCTTCGGCAAGGCAGTCGAACAAACCTTCATACCAAATTATTAAAACTACAAACCCAAATGTACCTATAATAA